GTACGCACCACCACGCCATGTCTCAATTGCTGCCTCAGTGCGCCCGGGGACAGGACCTGCATGGCAAGCCCGGGGATCAACTGCACCTGTTTGCAGGTGCTTCAATCCACTAAGCTATTTGACAGGCCCTAACACAAATATTTAAAAGCAGCTATCAACTTTGTAGCTTAAAAATGTTTGAAATACGTGATTCAAAAATTGATAGGAAAATAGGGCTGGGGAGATGGCTTAGTAGAATAAGCACTTCCCTGGCAAGCACAAGGGTCTGAGTTCAATCCCTGGTTCCATGAAAAAAAAAATTGACAGGAAAATAAACAAATAATTACTGAGACTGTGTACAATTCTACTAAGCCTATTTCCAACCCTTTCGACTAAGGTTGAAATTTGTCACCATAGACAGGTATTTTTGTGAGATAACTGTGTTCTTCTCCTAGAACAAAGTACCTGAGGCAATCAGCAGTAAGGTGACAGTCTTAGGTTGGCTCACAGTTTGAGAGTCTTCAGTCTGCAAGTGGTTGGCCCTATTCCTTTGGTGTCTGCTGGTATGGTGGATCACGGGGTGGCATGTGGCTGAGGAGACCTGGTAACCGTGTGAGGGCCACAGAGTGCTGGGAGACACACTGGGACACCAACGCGTCAAACTCCCCTTCACAGGCACGATGCCAGGGCCCTAATTTCATCTGACTTGAACTCTTCTTTAAGGGATGGCCAGCCTCTGATGCCACCACAGGCTGGATCCAAGTCACGGCCGGACGCCCATCCAACTGCGGTGGACAGTGTTTACATCTAAATATCATCATTTCTATACAGGGAATGAGTACTATTTAAACACACGGACAGATTGCTTAGCTCTCTCATTTCATATATTAAGAAACTGGTTCACTCTGAAAATGAAACGCAAGTATGGACATACAGTTTCAGGAAGAATTTAAGGACATAGGCAGGGGCAAGATACAAAGCATTTAATCAAGCAGACCAGCAGGAACTACCTGTTTATTTTAATGAGCAGGCATATCATAAACAGGTTATGGTTGCAGAGAAAAGCATTGGTGGTTTGAGAGTTATGGCTTGTTATCAGCGGCACCAGGGCTCGAAAAGTTGGGCTGTGATTTGAGCGTGCTCCTGTGAGTGAAGAGCGCTGCCGAGAAGTACTGCTGTAGGAACGGAGTCTGCACAACTGTCTACGTGTGCACCTCATGCAGGTGAATTTACAGTGGGACTTCAGAGATTAGTTGTTGGGTGCAGGAGGCAACGGACGATAAAGACACAACAAGACGGGCCTTGCAGGGCCAGCAAGATAGCTCAGCGGACTAAGCTCCTGGTTAGGCAAGCGCAGGGACTGGGGTTCGATCCCTGGCACCACATGCTGCTCTTTGACCCTGGGCACACTGAGATGGCCACTGAGATGGCTGTGGTGGTGCACATCTATAATCCCAGCGCTGGGGAGGCTGAAAACAGGAAGATCACTACGAGTCCAAGATGCATAGTGAGACCCTGTACTGAATACATTTTTTAAAAAAAAAAAAATGTTGGGTCTTGTTTCTAATCATTTTTGTCTGAAACCTCATATTTTTGGATAAGTTATGCTGCATTTCTTAATTTGTCAATATTTCTTCATTTATAAATTGAGGGGCATACACTCTTCAAGAGGTGCTTAATCCTAGAGTTCTTGGATACTTTGATTCTTTTTTTGACTGAAAACAATTAAGAATGAATTAGAAAATTACCAGTTTTCATCTTGTAACCCAAAGGAAAGTGTACACGTTCTCTGTGTGTCTCTGCACAGGTCGTTGATCATGGAGGGGGTGGTGGTATTTCAGAAATATGGTGGAGCGTTTCCTCAAAGGCACTTTCCCTCCTCTCTGCTCCTTCCTTTCACCTGCTGAATATCTGTACCTTGTGGATTCACGATTACTAGTAAGATAATTTGGAGGTAATAAGAGGCATGCAGGGGCATGTATTGAAATCTCATGGCAGTATCTTTAGAGGAGAAGGGTTAGCACATGGGAGCAGAGAATATAAAGTTCAGGAGAGTGATAATTGCTCAGG